ATTGATAAAAAGGGATGGATGATGGGGGAATAATGCAATGTAATGTCAAAGGTGATCAAATTTCAGACCACATTAAAGCTGTAAAGTTTAGGGATTGTTAGGAACTGAGGTTTAGATATAATTGGGATTAAAAAAAACATGACAGGGAGGCAAGTTTAAGCAAGGAAGTGACAATCTGATGCACAGTGACTGGGATTTGGAAAATTAATTGTAGCTGTCATACAAAGATTTCATTTTGCTTTGTCCTATGCAAGAAGAATGGATAGGTGTATCATATATTCTTGTGTATGTGTCTGTAGATCTGTAGAAGTTGTCTGATGTAGACTAGGTTCACTTTGGTTTCTTCTACTTCAGGCTACATGAGCACCTTGGTTTGGATACTGGGTTCTTCATGTAGGATGCACTCAGGTTTTTTCCATGTGTTTTCTTTCTGGGTATGACTTGGGCTGAAAGGACAGCAGCTTCTTAGAGAGTCATAGAGGCACAAGAGAGTCAACCCAACCACATAAGCAATTAGAAATCTGTCCTTGCATCACCTCTGTTGACCTTTCATTGGTCACCAAATCTACCAGCCTAACATCAGGGTGCTGATAATCAACCAAGAGAGTCAACTTATAAAGAGCAAAGCCTTATTTTGGCTCACAGTTTTGGATGTACAGTCCATCATCAGTTGACCCTTTGCTTTGGCCCATTATAATAGGAGTGTGGACTCGAACAAAACTGCTCACCTTGTCATGAGAAAGGGAGCAAAAGATGAAAGAGGAAGGGTCCAGGGACCCACAAACCCCTTTAGGGGAACATCTTCAATGACCCAAAGATCCCTCACCTCTTAAAGGTTCCACCTCCTCTCCATAGCACCACCCTGGGGACCAAGTCTTTAAACACATGGGCATTTGGGGGACATTTAACATTCAAACTATAGCAGGGGAAGAACACTCTGACAACAAGGAGCAGGATAAGGGACTTGCTGAAGAATCAAACTATCACAGGAGAACGGATGGTGAGACAATGATTTCTTAAAACTGGAAATATCTTTTAATGATTACAAATAACTACAAATCAAAAAGGCTTCCTAGAAATCAGATATTCTATTCTGTTTAATATACTGAACAATTTATTCTCTATAGGCAAATAGTGCTTTAAAAACTAAGGCATTTCATCTTTGTAAAAATATTAACAATATTTTTAAACTAGCTTTGCTTGTACTTTATGTTTATATTTCTTCTGAAGTGAAAAGAATGGGAATTGGTTGCTTGGCCTGGTTGAGGCAATTATAGAACTTTGGCCAGTCACTTAAAATCATGACATCAGTTTCTTTATAGTGTCTTCTAGTTCTTAGCACCTAGGAGTTTAGAACTGGTCCATCAGCAACATTTGTGGGCCAAAGGGATTATAAACAATTCTGGGAGCAAAGATAGATTATGACCAAACCACAAAATTATAGAAGACATCTTTAGAATTACTTAATTATAGAGATGAGGAAACTGAAACCAAGCAAGTTACCCAACTTCCCCTGATTACACACAGTAGTAGAGCTTATGGTGGGGAAAAGTATTTAATCCTATAAAACATCTAAATTTGTTTTTAAAATTTAAAGGCTATATGTAAATAATTACATTTATACTATATATCTACAGTTATAGATAATACTATATATAATTATCTATACATCTATAGAGATATTAAACTTTATAAAATATTATTTTGTAGTATCAGAATTTTCTTACAGTCATCAATTTTATATAGTTCAATATGAGAACATTAGCAGTTCTAATTGTAAGAGCAGAAACACCATGAATTACCTAAATGTTCACCAGCTATAATAGAAAAATTAGTTGTGAGATAGTCATAAAGTAGAATTCTATGGAATAGTGATTTAAAAAAAAAACAAACCTTTACCCACATGTGTCAATACTGACAAATCCCCCAAAGAAGCAAGTCATCAAAGAATGCATTCTGTTTGGTTATATTTTTATGAGTTGCAAAAAAAACTAAACTATCATTTAAAGAGCTATTCATAGAGAAAATCAGTTTTTTTTAAGCAAAGGATTTTTAAAGAGTAAATCAAGATAGCTCTTACCTTGATAAGTAATATTTTACCTCTTAAATTGGGTGGCTGATACTTTGATGTATATTGAATTATTTTTCTTCATAACTAACACATATTTCTAAACTATTCATTACTCAATATTTAGAAAAATAACATCAGAGAAGTTATACAAGTCTCTGGTGGCAGGAGTATAAATTGATAGTCATTTTAGAGGGCTACTGACAGTATCTATTAAAAAAATAATGAATATAGTAGACTTTCTCTTTATACATTGACTAAAATCTAGATGAAACTCTCTGTATAATTACTTTGCTTACTCAGTCTTGAGAAGCCAGGTCTGGTTCGAGATAGCTTTGATTCCTCTAAAACACTCTGAAGTCTCTGCCCACACACCCTGCTTCTCCCATTTCCCTCTTTGTGCCCTGTGTCCCTCCACACCCACTAACCCAACATTCACTAACCCCCCCTTCCGTCATATCTGTTGTAGGCTGCCTAACATGCTTTCAAATCATAAAGCAATTTAAGTTCCAAGGTCACTAACTGGACAAGATTTTTATTATTTTTCCTGCTGCAGAGCTTGCAGCATTCATGTCTACTGCTTACAATGAGAACTTGGAAAATGCAATGAAGATTATTCACTGTTCTTATCACTGTACCCCCACACTCCCTAAAATGTAGGGAACATTTTGCTAGGTCAACAGCTTAGAAGGAATATTGTTTTTCTGGAATGAGATCCACCCACCATGATTTCAGAGACAAAGTTTTAGAATGATTATGTTAACTACATAGAAAATGACATGAATGTCATTTTCACTGGAAGTCTAGTCAGATGTTTTCTCAGAAATGAATGTGACCAGAATTCTTACAAAAATATACACACTCACTTTCCATTTCTGTTTGTTTTCTTGTTTATGTGTTTTAGGGTTTTTTGGTTTGGTTTGGTTTGGTTTTTTTGAGGCAGGGTCTCATGGTGTAACTTCCCAAGTGCTGATATTATAGATATATGCCACCATACCCCGGTCATTTCTAGGATTTAAATGAGATGCACAGTGGGCAGGACAAGGGACAAGCTTGCATGAAAATTTGCAGCAATTTTTAAAAAATATCTTCTTGAATATTCCCCAATGTTATAAAATATCCCTGAAGTAATATAATTCTCTTTGTAATACTTGGAAGTTTTGACTCAAAATTTATTCTGTACCTCTGGAATAGAATTGGGTCATTTTCAAATTACATAGATAAATGAAACAATAGTCATGAGAACTTTGAATTCAATTATTTTACCATTTTCCAGATGTGAGCTTTGTGTGTGGCAAAATTCAAACGACTTCATATGCTTTATGAAGTGCAACAGTGGTCCACTTAAGGAAGTTTTGTTTTCTTTCTTTTTTGCTAAGACATTATTTGGTCACACTACCTTTTATAGTGCTCATATACATTCTTCAGATTTGGGGGATGGGGGATATAGAATGAATTTTTTTTATTGAACTCCAAAGATGTATTGATAACTTTCCTTTGCCCTTTCTTGTTTATGGTAAACAAAGAGACAATTTGCTTTTTTTTAGAAGGAAAAATAATAAAAAGACAACTTCTGGTCGCAATGTCACCTTGTTGATAGCTGTTCAAGTGGCAGATTACGCAGTTTCTTACATAGTGTAAAATGTTTTCGTTTTGTATTTTAGTGTGCAGCCTCAAAATTCCAAGGCACTTGTAACCATGGGTCTGGTTCAGTGAATTTGCATCCTTATTTGAATTCTATTCTTTAAAAATCCTTCTGATATTTAATGCATTTTTTCTATTAAATTTTATTTTACATAGGAGAAGTTCTATTAATGGGCCTGAAAAATCATTTTCTTTGGGGAAAGTGGTATGGAAAATTAAAAACCCCACTTTAAACATATTTTCTGAAATGTGAAATTCATACCCCACCATATGGTTAGCTAAATTTCCTGTAATTTATAGTAATTTTAGGCCAATGGGATTGCTGTGGCCTTTTCTACACTCCCCTGCACTAACCCTGCTTTCTGAGACACAGGCTGATTGCAAAGGACTGAAGTGCATGGGAGACTGTGAGGGACTAGTAGCCCAAGCCAGGTCTAAACAACTACCCATGGCTTCAGCAAGTTGTTTTTGTGTGGAACAAAGACCCAAGCATTCCATCATCTTCCAGTTTATCTTTGGATTCCAGACTTTCATGTGAAAGCTTCTATTTTTTTATTGTTGTGCTGGGTGAGGGTACATTGTCACATTTACAAAAGTTCTTACAATGTATTAAGTATATCATATTTGAATTCACCCTCTCCACCATTCTCCTTTGTCCCTCCTTCCCCCTATTCCTGGAATAGTTTCCACAGGTATCATTTTTCCATTTACATACATGTATACACAGTATTTGCACCATATTCACTATCCTACACCTTTTCCCCACCTCTTTCCTCTTCCCGCTGGTAACAAACCGCACTCTCCCAATCCCTTAACCCCCAACCCCTCTTTTCCTAACCCATCCCCACCCACGGTAGGACCTGTTCCACCCTCTTGTTCTCCAATTTTATAGAAGAAAAAAATTACATTTTTGCTTGTTTAAGATAGCTACGCAGGGAGTTACCTTGTGACATTTCCATGTATATATGTATTATAATCTGAATTGATTCATCTCTATTTTTCTTCATTCTACCTTAGTCCCTTTCTTATGGTGGTTTCAACTGGTTTAGAAATTCTATATTCATTCTTGTATAGAGAGCACATCAATGAAATATCTTATTTTTAAATGATGACAACTCAACAAGAACATAGGCAAGCCAAACTGAAAATGTCTCTAGGCCTAGGAAGGTCCCTCCTTGAGGTAGAGAAGTGTTTCAGTACCACCCACTCAATCTCTGTTCCTGTGGAAAGGGGTAGGAATTACACAGCTCCCTTGAGCTCTTGACATTTCCCTCTTTCCTTTTTCTAGGCTATGTGCTGTCTCTGGTCTGTCCCAACTCCTCCCAGGCTTGGTGTGAGATCACAAATGTGTCACAGCTGCTGGCTTCTCCTGTCCTCTACACGAACCTGAATTCCAGCATAACCAACTTGAGCATTTCGGCAAATGTAGAAAACAAATACAGTCTTTATGTGGGCTTGGCACTGGCTATAAGTTCCAGTATTTTTATTGGCTCCAGCTTCATACTGAAAAAGAAGGGTCTCCTGCAATTGGCCAACAAGGGTGTGACCAGAGCAGGTAAGAAACACATCAAACTAAGGAATTCAAATTTCTAGCTGCAGAAATAATCCTTCTGTGACCCCACAGTACTACTCATTATCAGTGACTGTCTCTATTTATCTTCACCACTGTGTCCTTGACTGAGCCAGCTGTGTCTCCCATAATCTCTGACCTCCGCAAAAAGTGGCCCCTGCTACCTCTGCAGCTGCCTCTTTGCTACCCTCCCAGTCACCTACTTTTCCCTTGTTCTTGGAATAGACTAAGTTCTTTCCCACCCTGGGGTGTTTTTCCTTTGCCTGGAACTTTCTTTCCCCTGCCCTCCATTTAGCTGAATCATACTTCTGACTTCCTGCTAAAGTTTCACCACCACAGAAAGGCCTTTGTTGACCATCCTTTCTGAGCAGGTTCCCCCACCTGCCTCCCCCTGTGACTCTCCATCATCACACTAACAGTTTCCTTCATTGTTCCCAGGATGATTTGTAGTGGTTCATGTATTATTTGCTTATCGTTAAGTTTCTTTATGAATTGTGGGTTCCCAAGAGCGGGAACCATCCCATGCACAGTGTTTGGCACCCAATAAATATTTGTAAAATCTTTGAATGAAGAACAATAGAATGAGATTGCTATTTCTAAAAGCATTCCAGATGCCTACTGAATAAGCACTGCCTGATTATCCTTCATTAGTAATGAATTTTCTATTCATTTTTATCAAGTATAATAACATAAAAAACAAATACTTTTCTTAGGTCCATATGGAAGGATAAGTGACTACATATTATGCAAAGACACTCCTGAAAGAGAGCTATTAAAAACAGATAGGCACCCATCAGAAAATAAAATGTACTGTATTGCTATGTTAATTAAAAACAGTTTAGTATTATAATTAAAGCAGATAAAATAACAAAAGCTTATTAAAACTAAAAGTGGATCACCAAGTACTTATATGTGTGCTTTTTAAGTGTATAATACATATCACATTATATATGGGTTCTTTTTAAAGTGGCATGTCACACCAGTGGACAAAACTGATTATTTTAATTAAAAGTATTGAGACAACTGGGCCAGGTGAATGGTTCACTCCTATAATCCTAGCTACTTAGGAGGTGGAGAATGTGAGGATCCCAGTTCAAGGACAGCCTGGGCAAAAAGTTAGTGAGACCCCCCCTCCACCCACATTTCAACCAATAAGCCAGACATGGTGGCATGAACCTGTGATTCCGGCTATCTGAAGGCATCAGTAGGAAGAGTTTGGTCTGAGGCCAGCCCTGAGTAAAAATGAGAGACTCTACCTAAAAAATAACTAAAATAAAAAAGGGCTGGGGGCACAGTTTAAGTGGAGGGCACCTGCCTAGCAAGTGTAAGGCCCTAAGTTATCAACTACATAATAATAAGGTCCAATAGTACAATACCATCCCAATTTAGTCATTTGCAAATTTTGTAAGGAAATCTAGATAAACATAGTTAACTACTTTAAAAGATAATCTTTATAGCTTGTATATTCTGTTTAGCTTAATTATAACAAAATCATCTAGGTCAAATTCAGGGAGCTAAATATCTTGAAATTGAGAAAATTCTATTTTGGGGGGAGGGGTTTTGAACTTGGGACTTTGCACTTACTATGCAAGCATTCTACCACTTGAGCCATGCCTCCCGTCCTTTTTTCTGGTTATTTTGAAATTAGGGTCTCACTTTTTGCACAGGCCAGTCTGGTCCATGATCCTCCTATTTTATGGTTCCCAACCTGCCATCACAGGTGGAATGACAGGAGAGGCATGTACCACCATCCTCACCTTTGTTCTGAGATGGGGTCTTGCAAACTTTTTTCCTGGCCTCAAGCCACAGACCTCCCAATCTCAGCATCCCAAGTAGCTAGAATTACAAGTGTGAGCCCTAGCACCCAGTGAGAAAATTCTATTTTCTACAACAAACATGTAACAATGATTTCAGGTCACAGATTACAGGAGGTGAGCTTTTTGTCCTTTTCAGTAGACTAGACAGAAAATTTCAATATGCCAAGGTAAAGAATAAGTAGAGCTTGACACTAGTGTCTTACACCTATAATCAGGAGGATTGTAATTTGAAGCCAGCCTCAAACAAATAGTTTACACTTGCCTGCCTGGCAAGTATAAGATATAAGACCCTGAGTTTAAACCCTAGTACTACCAAAAGAAACAAAAAATTTAAAAAAAGAATAAGTAGTAGAGTCTATCTATCTAATGGTTGTTATTCTTTTCTTAACTAACTCAGACTCTCAAAAGTTCTTTTTTGGCACTGTGGTTTGAACTTAAGACCTCATGCTTGCTAGGCATGCTTGCTCTTGCCACTTGAGTCACTCCTCCAGCCCTTCACAAAAGTTCTTATGTCAACCATCTTCTTCCCTTTCAAGTCTTCATTAGGTACCAGTATAATTTACAAAAAGTTTTCTGTTTTAAATTAAACCATGGCTGAAACAAGGTATTTAGAGTTTATAATATGTAATGTCCACACCTCTGACTGACATAAATGTAGTGAACCTGATGATTAAGTAAAATTTCCTACAAATAAAGTACTTTCTGTAGAAATCAAAGATAAAAATCATGAAAACCACTAAAATATCTTTGGAAATGACCAAGCAAATATGCTCAAAGACTAGTTTTCCCAACTTGACCTTAAACTTTGCCTTTTCCAGCAATATTCCAGGGATCAATTCTTCTACCCTTCTCTAACTTAGAACTTAATTTTTGTTTCTGGTTATTTTTCCTAGGACAAGGTGGACATTCTTACCTCAAGGAGTGGCTGTGGTGGGCAGGATTGCTGTCAAGTAAGTTATTAATATTGAGAACATTTGTTTAGCTGCCCCTCACACCAGCCAGCCCAAGAATAGACTTTAAGTATAAAAATTTTTGTGAGGTCATAACATATTGTCTTATATTTAATAATTATATATGCGTATATGTTGACATAAGAACTTTTGTAAAGGGCTGGTGGAGTGGCTCAAGTGGCAAGAGCAAGCATGCCTATCAAGCGTGAAGTCCTAAGTTCAAACCCCAGTGCCAAAAACAAAAAAAATATATATGTACATATATAATTTTTTACTCATCCCACAACCCAACCCTTGTGCTCTCAATACTGTCCTGGAATGCAAAGGAAAAAGTTGGCATTTGAAATACTGTATTTTATCACAAACTTCTGTTTTCTTCCCCTTGAGAACTGAGAAAAGTGCTTTCCCCACCATGTTTTCCCAGTTCCTAATTTGAATCTGTGATATCCTAGATGCATATTTTCTCAGGGATAGGTACAGTTCCCTTACCAGTACCAAACAAGGATAAATTAAAGGATTCTCTGGCTGTTGACACTGGATTGATCAATCATTGGATCAATCATTGTCAGCACTCTCCCTCCTCCCAGACTTGCTTTCAGGATTGAAGGATACTTTGTAGGTCAAGGAAGCTCTTCCTAAATGCTAAGGTGATGTTCACAGAGAAGGCAGTTTATCTCCTTCCACTACTTTCCCCTGATCTCACTCTCTCACCTCCTCTGAACTTCTTAAATCCCAACCCTGAAACTTCCAAGGAAAGAACATCAGAAATTTTACTTTGACACCACTCATGGATCACTTTCCTCTGCAGTCAAAGTCTTAAAGCTTCCTTGTTTTCCAAAACCAAGCAACATATTTCAGTGTTTGCAAGGTCCTGATGTAAGAAGGAACTTACCTTCTCCTTAATAAATCAGTGGCAGAATCTAAAAGAATGATGAAGAAAAGTAATTTAAATTTGTATGGCACTCTCAGTCTTTAATGTATTTTCCCATCTATTTCCTTACTTTATTTAAGTAAAAGTTGACAAAGACTGGGCTAAAAAAGTTCCAGAGACATGTTTGAGTGGTCCTCTTTCCCTCTTTGTCTCTCACTTGCGTTCTTCACCCTCTATGCATACTTTAGAATAAAAATATAAGAAGAATATCTACAGTTGCCATTTTATTTTTACCGTGTAAAAAAGCATATACAAGTATTGAGGAGAGAAAAGCATACATTAAAGATTTTATCTAGTAACAGACATTTGGTACTTTAACCATGAAGTTAATGTGAGAATGCTTCCATAACTTTTTATGAGAGCAGTCTCCTAATTGTTGTGTAAGTTTTGATTGTTTTATAGTGTTTTCCTAATGCTCAACCCTCCTCTAGATGAGGGGGGAGGAAGAAGGGAGAGGTAGCAAGCTGCTAAAGAAAAGGAAAAGTATGTTAGTGTTCTTTTCTCTCTCTGCAGAAAGGGTTTGCGTGGTGCTGTTTGCCAGCATGAAATACTACATTCTCTAGGCAAGTTTCCAACTGTGATCTGGGAGAATAATTTAACTCCCATTCAAGAGCCCAGTTCTTGGATGGAGGGATTTCCCTCAAAGTTATTTATATGACAGTACCTCATAGAAGTCTAGAGTTCCTCCAAAAGAAAAAAATACTATATTCAGAAGTACATCCCTAGGACTTTAAAACAGCTGCTGGTGTCTTCTTCACTTGTGGAGATACTGTTACCTGCCTGTCGATCATCAGAGATGTCTGAGTTCACGGACCTGTGTAGGGACTTCTGACTTTTGTATCCAGACACCAGATTTCTACAAAACTTTCTAATTGTACAAGTTGCTTTGTTGTTGTTAATTTGTAAAACAGAAGGCATTCTTGAGCAAATGGAACAATTGCTTTAGCTCTGTTAAAACTCATCATAGTGATCAAGTATATTTTCATTTCTGAGTAGCTAAAATCTTTATCAAAACTCATTTAAAATGTGTATTTGTTGGTTACCATTAGTTGAATTTATATCACCAGGTAATTACAGCTTCTATGCATCACTTAATACAAAATTTCTCCCACATCCCATAAGAAAAAGAACCTAAACTATTCCTTTTAGCTAGATCTTTGTGTCTTTAAAATAAAAGCCCCCTTGCTTTTTGAGAGTAATTTGTTTTTCTCTTCTGAAAGATAAACCCACCTTGCACATGAATACTTCTGCTTGCTTTCTAGTGGGAGCAGGAGAAGCCGTAAATTTTGCAGCTTATGCATTTGCACCGGCCACCTTGGTCACCCCACTGGGCGCTCTGAGTGTTCTCATAAGGTAGGTGAACAATAAGAACTCGGCTTCTAGGGGATTTTAGTACCATGGTGACACTTAAACTGTAAGAAACATATATCTCACAATAAATACATCTGAAAAAACAATAACAAAAACACTCAACCAATTGGGGCTCTCAAAGCACAGAGGTCCCAACATAATTTCTAGGACCCCTGAGAAGCTTTGGCAAGTTTTTAAGCTCCAAGTGGAGCTTAAAAAATTACTTCTTAGGCTGGTGGTGTGGCTCAGTCGTAGAGCTCTTGCCTAGCATGTGCAAGGCCCTGGGTTTGATCCACATCATCACGTATACACACATACACACACACACAAAGTCACAAAAATAATTTGAGAAGACTACAAAATAATAGCAGTAGAAATAGGAAGTAGGCTGTCATATTATTATTATCTTGAAGAACAATGACAGAGTAAACTTGGTTTCCTGCTAACATAAAGTAATTGTGCATTATGACAATTCAGTGAAGCCTAGCAGAGTTTTGTTTTTGTTTTTTTATATCTCATCTAGATAAATCATCAAAGTCCTTTTAATTCTTTCTGTTGTCATAGTAGTTAATGACCACAGTTATAAGAGGACTTTAAAAAAGCATAGTGTTTGGGCTAAATTTCAACTCTCACTAAGCTTCTCCCATTGTCTGCTGGATACTTCTGTTTAGAGACCCTGTAATTTTTTTGTACTGGAAGTAGGGATAATATTCCTGGTCTATAAGCTGCAGATCTGATTTTTCTGGGTTGGTCTATATTACGCTCCCAATGAATATGTTCCAGTGAGCCCATGAACTCTTATTTTGTAGCGTAGCTACCATTTTGTTGCACTTTTTGTCTTTTTCATTTCCATTCATTATCAGTCTCTAGAAGAAAGTTTATGATTGGGCCTACTCACTTCTCTCTACCTTCTTTATAGGATTGTTGTGAGAATTAAATGAGTTAATACACATAAAGCACTTAGAACACTTGTCAGTGAAACAGATAGCAATAGTAGCAATTTTCACAGATCCCACAAATAGCCATATGAGGGAAACTCTAGAAAAGTACCTGGTAATTGCTCAGTCTTAGGGGCAAATGGGCACCAGTAGTTGGAATGTCAGAGCATCATAGGAAGAAGGCTGGCATGCAGAAATCCCACTGGGCCTAATGGTGGAAGAGCAGGATGGCATACTCTGACGTCCTTAGTAGTGCCAGTCTGGAGCTTCCTGAGACCAAGGCACAACAGCCAAAGATTTGGTAGTATTAGATAGATGGACGTATCAGGACCATAGCAATTAGTAAGGAAGTATTTCAATATTTTAACAATCTGAATTGTTGTACTGATTATGTACTAAAACTACATCTCATCCCCAAGCCGAGGAGCCATGTTTTTTGGTATATATCTTTATTTGAAATTTTGATGGACACATATATTTTAGAGGTATAGGTTGAGCATCTCCAGTTCCAAAATCCCAAAGCCAAATGCTCCAAAATTTGAAACTTTTTGAGCATGGACATGATGGTACAAGTGGAAAATTCCATAGCTGACTTACGGCGGGTTGCAGTCAAAACATGTGCACACCAAAAATATTGCATAAAATTTCCCTCAAGCTATCCATATAAAGTATGCATGAAGCATAAGTGAATTTTGTGCTAAAACTTGCGTTCCATCCCTCAAGATATCTGACTCTGTACATGCAAATGTTTCAAAATCTGAAAAATTCCTTAAATCCAAAATTCTCAGCCCAAGCATTTCAAACAAGAGGTGCTCACCCTATATTGTACCAATAAGATGTAAAAGGTCTTCATTTTACTTGGCTTTATAGAAGAAGATGGGTCAATTGAAAATGAGCAAGACCTCTTAGAAGGTCATGGGAAGGTGACAGGAGTCTAGGACTCTCTGATAGTTCTTTGGATATAAAAAGCAACGAGCAGAGTTGATTGGCCATCATTTCTGAGTTTAAAACTAACCAAGGTTTTTCAGTGTACATAGTGTATTCAAGTAAGCTCAATGGGGTACAGAGTAGTGTGCACCACAGTGCTGCTTCTGAGCTGCCAAAGAATTAAGAAGTAATTAAATCATAGTGACTTAATTTTCTTCTCTCCCAACAGTGCAATATTATCTTCCTATTTTTTAAATGAGCACCTGAATATTCATGGAAAAATGGGCTGCATATTAAGCATATTGGGGTCAACTGTGATGGTTATCCATGCCCCACAAGAAGAGGAGGTTACTTCTTTACATGAAATGGAAATGAAATTGAGAGACCCAGGTCTGTGATTCAGCCTAAAGAAATACTTGAATTCTGCTTCTCTCTCTCCACTCAACAAATGATATTTGTTTGTTTGTTTGTTTGTTTTTGAGACAGAGTCTCAGGCTAGCATCAGACTTCCAATCCTCCTGCCTCAACCGCTTGAGTGCTGGCATTCCAGCTGTGTGTCACCACGCCTAGCATCAAATGATATTTCTAATGATTTCGGAATATGACTCCTACAAGCCTTGTTGTGGGTTGTGAGACAAAATAAGTTTTGCTTATAAGTCTTCTGGGAAGGTGGCAGAATTAACTTTTATGTTCATGTTTCCCTTGTACACAATGAAAGGTAGAGATGGGGATAGTAGAGGCAAAAGACTTTTAGTTGGACCCAAATTTTTGTTACCTCCTGCTTAAGTAGTTATTGGTGAGAGTCAAATGACATGTTTGTGAAAGTTCTTTACAAAATAATGACAACTGCACAATAAGATGTTACTGTTTTTAATTTAATCCCACTTCTTTTTCTAAAATGTGTATGCTTTTAAATTCACGGCTGACAAGATTTTGGAAGGGCATGGTCCTATTAGCGTCTTCTGAAGTCTAATTCTTATCTCTTCCCAACAGGATTTATTTCCTTTGCTGTGATTGTAACTACATTTTCCTTGGTGCTGATTTTGATCGTGGCTCCCAAGAAAGGAGAGACCAATATATTGGTCTACATTTCAATCTGTTCTTTGATTGGAGCATTTTCAGTTTCTTCAGTCAAGGGCCTGGGAATTGCCATTAAAGAACTACTAGAATGGAAGCCAGTTTACAAGAATCCTCTGGTCTTTGTTTTGCTGACAGTACTTGTGCTTTCAGTAACTACACAGATTAACTATCTCAACAAAGCACTGGACACATTTAACACATCTCTTGTGACTCCCATTTATTACGTGCTCTTCACAACCATGGTAGTGACTTGCTCTGCCATCTTATTCCAGGAATGGTATAGTATGAAAGCTGGAGATATCATAGGGACCCTGAGTGGGTTCTTCACCGTTATCAGTGGCATCTTCCTTCTCCATGCATTTAAAAATACTGACATTACCTGGAAGGAGCTGACATCCACTACCAAGAAAGAAGTCCTTTCTCCAAGTGGCAATGAGAATAGTTATGCTTTACTAGAGAACACGGATTGTCCAACCTCAGGATATGATGATGATGTTACTTTGTTCAGCAGGACTGATGGTCAAAGCCTTTACAATCCCTGAATTTTAACTAATATGAGACACTCAGAGAGGAGAAGGAAGACTTATTCTTGGAAGGACTCCTGGGAAAGTTAGCATTTTAACGTGATAAGTAATACTGTAGATGTGAGGCCAAATAAAGAAGCCTTCACTTTGGCCATCAAATTTGAAAATCAAGTTTTTATTTTTCTTCGAAAGACTTCTGCATCTCTTCATTTCTACAAAGTTTGAAATACTCCTTAGTCATAAAAAAATTCAAGAAGTTACATTCCTTTCAGAATAATCTCTCTTGTTTGGTTGCAATAGGTTTGGCTCTGTTGGGTGGTACTTTGTTTCTTTGATGGCTACTCTTAGACTCATGGTAATTCATAGATCAAGTTAACTTGACAAACAGAGGGTCAGATACCATCCTCTGAGGAGTCATAATCTCACAGTTTTACAAGTGAGAACACTGGTGCTTTGGTCACCTGTCTGTAACGTCCTTTTTAAACTAGATACCTAATGGGCAAAGTGTTAAAAAAAAAAAAACATCCATTACTTAATGGTGTAAAATACACAAGGCACACCTAGCCACAAAGGGCTTATGAATTGTAATTTATTCACATATCATAGGATTTCATCACTAATTAAAGAAGGGAGAATAGAAGAGAGTGGAAAATACTTTACCCTTCAGGTAAAGGAGCACTATTTTTTCATTTCCCCCAAACTTTAGCACACACAAATGATTGTGCCCACAGATTCATTCAACACAGCCCTGGATGAGAGAAGGCAAAATTAACTTTCTAGGGAAGTCTGAGTGAAATCAGCTTCAGCGTTACTTACATTTATCTTGTTCTTTCTCTTCTTATCCCATAGGTGACTTGTCTTGTTGACCTAGAGATTTTTGTAAAATAATCACTACATTATTTCAGAATAATATTACATTTCAATTTTGCCCAAATGTTTTATCGCTAAAGGGTGGGTTTTCTAAGATTGTTTGGAAATAACTAAAAAAATCTGGATTAAAAAAACTGAACAAATTATTCTAATGGTTCTTCTGAAATGTGGTACCTTCACCCTTATAGGGAAATTATAATCAGTTACTAACTTTTCAAAATAAGTACATCCTATAGAAGCAAACAGCACACTGCCTTTTTCTGTTAAATTTATCCTGACTGTGTTTTCCATACAATTTATTGATAAATTTTTTCAGAGAATGAACTTCCTGGAATACAAAATATTAAAACCTCAGAGACTATTACAAGAAATATTTTTGCTCATTTAAAACATTCATACAATTTTTCTGTCATTCCAGATTCATGGCAGAAATAATCTTTTATGTTTATAGACAGATTTCCTATCACTTATTGACTTTATGGAAAAGAAATTGGATATCTAATATATAAATTAAACTTATTTCTCTCAAAACAAAGCAAAAATCCTAACTTAAAAAGTTGCATTTTTAAAGAAACTTCTAGGTTGACTGGATTTTTTTGTGCTCTAACATCAGACATGATTAGTTTTGGTTTTTGCTTTTGAGCCAGCTTAAGCCTACTCAGGATAAGTAAGCCCTGCTATTCAGAATCCTATTAACCTTATTTTGGCATTTCCAGCTCTACTGAACTATCACCGATGTTCACAGTGATGGCTTTCGATGACTGCAAAGTCTGAAAATGAATCTTCAGCAGAGTTTAGTGTTAAGTAGAATTCAATGCATTCTAAATTCTTGAAAACTGATAACCTATGGAAGATTCATGGGTCGATACCTCAGTTATATGTTTGCTGACTTGCTTTGTTATATCAGACACATAAGCTATGAACCCAAATTTGTAGGAAAAGTACCATTCTGAAAAGGTAGTGTTTGAAAATTGTAGAAATTCCATATTTTTCTTTTTAGTATTGAGAACTCCATTGGTTTCTCCAGGGCAACTTCTTGGTGAAGAAATTAATGGAATTTTTCCTGACATCTAACCTGAGGTTGTGCTGATTTCTACATTTCAGTGAATTTAAGTTTCAGACATTTATTAAATGTCAGCTGTGACTTGACACCTTAAATGTCAAGTTTTTCCTTTGGCACATAGAGCCCAGGTTAAAGGTTCCTAGAACACAAGGATCAATGTGTCCTAGACTGGAAAATGAACTAGTATTGACATACATGCCCAGAGAGAAGACTGAGAAAGATTTAATGAGTTGTAGTATGTAGTAAATCAATTGTGTAGTGTTAATAGATCTCTGTAAAAATCATTGCTGAGTACACACATTGAAAAAACTCAAAATATTACTGCAAATCAAATGCCCAAAATTCATTTCTCCCAAATTGGAAGATAACTAAGGAAGAGTAAAATGCTGGATCCCTTTACTCACACTGCATTAGTGTTAACATGTGCATTTTAACATATGTACTTTATTTGTCATTCCATTCATATCTTAAGATTTATTTGTGAATATGAGTACAGATCTCATTAAGGATCACAGTGCTAGCATGGGACAAATTGAAAGCTTTTTTCTAGTTCTATAAAGATAATGGTTTTATTTTTTGATTTATAATTTTACTGTTAGGTCAATGGTTAATGATTTTATTTTTAGTTCGGATTATAGGATATTCACAGAACCCTTTAGATTTGGCAACATAAAATTAAATCAACATCTAATTTTTCAAGTATTGAGTCAAATATATGGAACACTCCTTTCATCATGCCCAATATGTAATAGGTATCTGACAAAATTTGTTCTCTTTGAACCAAAATTTTAATTTTTAGCCTTACAGTTTTTATAAATCTCTCATCTTTGTCCATTTGTGTCATATTAACTCATTTTAAATAACCCAAGTGAACATAAATTCCAATATTATACTTTTTCAATGCCAACATAAAATTATTCCACAAAAATGTTTTTCTTAATAAAACCAGTGAAACTGAACCAAATGCTATTTTCACCTTTCAGAGCTCTGTGAAAAAATAATTTATATGAATGTACAGGAAATGTTCTCAAATATTTTGGATAAACTATGTTCATGAGATTTTATATTTATCAAATGTATATAAATACTGTTTATTTTTAAATTTGAAATGCTTCTGTATATTTTTCATTTGCAATAAAATAATGTGGTTAAATTATGCTTTTTGGAGTTTAGTTTATAGATGTTAAGTATATGTAATAGCAAAAATTATTACTTTCCCCCTTTTTTGTGGGACTAGGACTCAAACTCAAGTCTTTGTGCTTGCAAAGGATATGCTCTACCTCTGGAGCCACACTTCCAGTCCATTTTGCTCTGGTTATTTTGGAGATGGGATCTCTTGAACTATTTGCCCAGGCTGTCCGCTAACCACAATCTTCTCTGGATCTTAGTCTCCCAAGTAGCCGGGATTACAGGCATGAGCCACAGGGGCCTGGCTAAATTATCCTTTTTTGTCTTGAGATTTTTTTATATATATATAAAAAGGTTTTGAGGTTATAAAAACAATCTGCACTAAAGTTAAGTTTGCTTTTTCCTTTTTCTTAACATTGAAATTTGTGTTTAGAAGCCTCTCCACAAACGATCTGCTGTGGAACAACAGATCTGACCCCTAAACAAAACAAGCTGTCATACTATTAACTAGGCCCCTGGATGTAGCTTAAAAGAAGCTAAAATTTTCTTAAATTGCTTAAATTTTACTTTAACAAATGAAAACCTATTTTTCCCAATTGAAAACATTGGTTAAAAACTAAAAAACACTTTTTTCAAAAGCTGACTATCTGAGCCGCCTTTTCTGCTTCAGTTACATACAACTCATGAAAAATCTTTCTCCTTGATGGAAAACCGAATCTCTCTATAAATGCTGGCAACATAAGAAAAACTTTGGCCAAGCAGCATTTTAACTTCTATACAGAGAATTTCCACAGCAATGAGGGGAAGGGCATTCCCAGATTTGTAGCCCAAGCTCTTCCCAGGAGCTGTCACCTGACCATCTGTCCCAGGACCCTGAATTCCCACTGGCCTCAGATGCATGTCCAGCCCTCAGCTGACAAGGTCTCACACCAGCTTTCTCCACTCTCCAGACTACAGTAAGGTCTGCTTCACACCCAGCTACATGTAGGTCCCAGAAACTGCTTGATTGGAAGAGGCAGATAGATGAGGTTGGTAGTAGAGGTAAGGGAGCCATACTCTGATCGCCATCTACCCAGAATTCACTGCTAGTAACTCCTGACTGCCAATAAGCAGCATTCATTTCAACCTGGTCCAAGAGCACTTGGACTGCTTAGTGTCACTCCCATAGGGGCTCACATACCATCAAAAACAAATACAGGGCCCTGGTCCACCTCTAGAATGGCTCTGGGGACACGATATGTGGCTTCTCCCTGTGCCAATTATACCTCTCAAACACAAACAAAGTAAAGACAAGAACCACCCAAGCTTAAGTCTAATAAAACATTGTTTCCATAGGCCAGGGTTGGGCAAAATAGCCCTCCAGCACAAAAAGCTCTGTCTCTCAATTAGCTTTTGTCTTTGTTTCACCATTAACATTTCATAGTAGTACTGAAAGAGTTTTAAATGAAATACTATTCCAATAAAAGAAATCACTCTGCCCTTAATCCTGGTATCATAAAGGTAGGTAATAATGAGCAAGACTTAGAGGAAACAGAAAATAAATTCCTATGGGAAGAATGGAGTGGAGCTTTATTTGCCGTGACTACCTTCCCTGAACCTAATTCCTTGGGAGTAATCTTGCATGCTACTAGCTTTGAGAATTTCTTTTCAGGATCATGAAATGTAAACTTAAGAGATACAGTGATTTTGTCTTTTCAGCAAGTACTGAGACACAGACACTCAGCAAAGAGAGTTTACTTGATCAAAGTTTACCTGGGCCAAATGGACAAGAAGCACATGGACATGACGATGTTGCCTCTTCCTGAGAGCTAAACAGGTTTAGGATCACACAGACTTAAGGTTACACACAAGAGTAACACTTACAGGGAGTCACCTGCTGATTGAAGATTAGCCTGTAGCAAAAAGAAATAAACAAAGTGTGGGTAAACTGGTCCAACAAGATCAAGTGCTATACTATTCACTTTGTGGTACAGTGGGGAGCAGCCAGGACCAGAGGAAGCAGGGACCCACAATATGGACACGT